AGCATGATTTGGAGATCTTCCATCCCAACTAAGGTAAAAGTTCTTTTCTGGATCATCACAAACAAGAAGTTAAACACGAAGGGAAATCTGATTATTAAGGGCTGGACAGGTGATCCAAGATGCTCCTTTTGTTTATCTGAGGTTGAAACTCACGATCATCTGTTTTCCAAATGCCCATTTGCACGAGCTATTTGGTCACACATCTTCCCCTCTATTCACACAAACAGTTGGCCTCAGTCGGTGGAGGAATTGATATTTTTTCATAAATCCACCTTTCTTAGCAAGGATGCTAAACTCATCTGGAAGATATTGTTGCCCTGTACTTGCTGGTGGATTTGGTTTAGTAGAAATGCTCTCATTTTCAAGGATGAACAACTTGATCATCTACTTATTGCTTCTAACATAGGGAGATATTCTATATTCTGGACAGGTGCTGCGGATGAGAGGCTGGAAAGGAGACTTCGCAGGGCTGCCCTAAGTACTGGACTTCAGGAGCTGGCAAACAAGAGGGCTGATGCATCTGGGGATAGTTTCCCCCATGCCCTCTAAATTTTCTCTTTCACTTTTCCTGATGATGAAGATACATTACCTTTTTGTTGGTTATCTGTTGATGTTTAGTCCCCCAATCTAAGCTTGTTATGTTTCTTGTATGTGTTAAGTGAACTCTAGTATGTAAGTATGTAATATGTGCCGTCTAGATGAATCTCCGCTGTGGGTCCAGTTTGGTAGGTGACGACATAGGTCCACTCCTTACCTGCTGCACCCTACGTGGCTCTTCATCTAGCTGTGATGTTTGCTGCTTATTAATAAAATCTTTATATGAGCAGGGTTTCTAACCCTGCTTTTTCTGCTCAAAAAAAAAAATTCACAAAGACAATTATTCTCAAGTTGGGATCACAAGAAAGTTGATAAAAGAACACTTATCTAACAAATATCTCAAGATGTGCTAACTGAAATTAACTACAAAGAAAATCTAATGCTATCCGCGAGACTCACCAACTTTCAAATGCTAAATATTTTCGAGATAAAAATATTAATAACTCGACAAGGAGTTCAGGACCTATATATGATTATCGATATAATTAGCTACTATATTATATTAGCTGTGAGATATGAAAAATAAATATTCATTATCCTCAGACTGAACTTGTTGGTTGTAGCCTGTATTTGGATGCTAGTAGCTTATCATGTATAAAACGGTTATTTGATAAATAACAAATTCATGAATTACGAAGCCATGCCTAAAATTGGAGCCACACATTATATCATACTCCCTTTAAAAGCACGAGTTCGGAAAATCTTTTTAAGACAAATATACCCCTTTATAGTTTGAACTACCTTATCTATAATCAAATTCTAATTTTCAATGGTCAATATTACCCTTCACTATTTTGAATATTTTATTTATATCTTAATATATCCTAATCATAATCATATCTTATCCTAATCCTATGTGAACCATGTTTAGCTTAACAATTTAAAAAAATTAATATTAATAAAATATATAAAACAAAAAGAAATTACAAGTAAATAACATATTATAATACATGAAGTATTGCAAAAAACCATAAAAAGTTTTAAAATTACAGAAAAGACCCTAAAAAGTTTAAAATTATAAAACTCATCCAAATGTCTCAAAACTTAAAATAAAAAATATGAAATTAAAAAATTAACATCAGTTTGCAAAAAATTTAAATTTTACAGTTAACACATCAATGTCTCAAAAATTATAGAAACACCCTCAAAAGTTTAAATTACAAACAAGCACATTAAAATTCTAAAATTTTAAAACTTACAAAGAACACAGATGAATTCAAGAGATTACCATGATACACCTAAAATTTTTGACATTTAAATTTAAATTTTTTAATTAACACCCTCAATATCTCAAAAATTATAGAAACACACCTTCAAAAGTTTAAATTATAAAAAGCCACACTAAAATTCTAAAATTTATAAATAAAATAAGATGAATTCAAGATATTACCCTTAGACACCTAAAAAATTAAAATTTGCCAAAATTAACCTCAAAATTTTTAAAAAACTCCTTCAAAATTTAAAAATCGTAAAAAAAAACTCTAAATTTTCAAAATTTTAACTAGCACACATCAAATTCGTCGATTGGTAGACCGCTGAAATTTAATATTTTTTAAAATTAATCTATAGTTTTAATAATTGCAAAAGACACCCTCAAAATTTTAGAGTTACAAGAAATATACTAACATTTAAAAAATTACCACCAACACATGAAACATAGAATTTACAACTACCAAACTTAAAAGTAAATTTTTTTAAAAACTCTTTCAAAATTTTAAAAATTATAAATCACACCCTCAAAGTTCAAAACCACAAAAATGGGCTAAAGTAATTTCATATAATTTTAGTAATAAGTTGGGGTAGCCAAAATACATTCGTAACATTAATTGATAGATGTTTAAATCCATAGAAATGATAAAACACTATAATATTATACCTTAGCATTAATTGATTTTAATTTAGAAACTTTAATCTTTGACGTTAATAATATTTATAGGGTAAAAGAATACAAGGAATTACATATGGAGAAACTATTAGAATATTTAGAGATAACTTTAAAAGAATTGAGTTATTTCCATTGCAAATGGGAAAGTGATGGAAATAAATCTAAAATTCAGAAAACGTCAATGAATCACTTGAATTGGCATTAACATAAGACATATCTATTAATGAAGCACTGAATGAGTTACATTAAAAAATAATTTAATAACTTTATCCTAATCAAAGAAAAAATCTCCATGGAAGACATAAGAAAAATTAGTAAGTATTCATAAATTCCATACTGTGTTCTTCAAATTAAATATTAATATTATAATCTAAGAGAAATTGGTAATGAATAATGCAGGTATTTAGTTTAGATCTTTATGGAAAATGACAGGGATAGAGCAAAGGTAATATTATTGAAATAACAGAAATTCTTATTGGATGCACATCAGAAGAATTCATTTTAGAGGAAAATAAAGAGATAGCTTCTAATTTATTTAAGTAATAAATTAGGAACACAAAGAATTTTATATATATGAAATTAATATTTATTCTCATTGAAATAGAAAAAAAATCAAAGTCTATATTTTGAGCAGTTTGTGTTGAACATCATAAGTACATTTGACTTCTTTGTAAAGTTAAATGAGATGATAAAAAATTAACGAGCCCAGGAAAGATAATAGCATAAAAAATACAAAATTAGCCTGATGTCACAATTGATGTAGATGATGAAGACAATACTCTAGAATTGTCCGAGAAATGATAAATGATAAACCTGAAGAAGGATTGATCTTAACTCAATAAAAAATAAAATAGAAGAAATAAAAATAATATTTTATGAATATTTTATAGAATAGTTTAATTATTTTGAATGAAATTAGGAATCTTTAGAAGGGAGTTTCATGAATTTTTTTCAGTACTTTTATATTCTTATGTGGATGTTTTTATCATATAAAAGTATACTAGAGTTAGTATTAATCTTTAATTTATTTTTTTTATGAAGTCTATCAATGATTAGGAATAAACTTCATATTCTCTTTTGCATTGTTTTAACATACTTTAAATCAATCATTTTACCATATTAGTTTTAAATATTCACCTTCCTTGTATAACACTATTTTAATATTTTTTACTTTGCAATGCTATACTTTCTCAAATAAAGCTTAGTTTCATATCGGTCAAAAATAATATGAAATTCAAATTATTTTTAAATTATATTTGTTTTTTGTCAATTCAAATATCAACATGAAAATTTAAATTAGGTGTATCTCATTTAAACAAACATAAAAAAATAATCGGGATGTAAGAGTTTAAAGAAAAAAATGAGCACAAACTGTCAAAAAATACTCATGGTATTAAATCACGTGCATTGCACGTGCGTAAAAACTAGTTGAGTAAAAATAGCCAGTGAAAATGAGTAAATTATGAAGTTGTTCGTCAAAAAGAGTTTTTGTGTACTAAATAGGGAATAAAAGGAAGTGAACTTACCTTCATAGACGGGTTCTCCCACCAACCTCAGATTCCTAACATCAAAATCAAAAAGAAGGGGAAAATTAAAAATATTACCTATAATTAGAAGAAATTGCAATGCATAATCCAAAGAACTACATAAGAATTAATATTAAGAATAAGAAATATAAGGAAAAAAAAAAGTAAAAGAATCAATTTAATACTCATAATCAAGAAAAGCACTTCCTTTGATCCATCAGAATTCAGCCAATAACGAATTTATAGATAGAACAACTAAACCTTATAAATTCTATCTATAAATTAATACTTTCATTATTTTGGATTTTGGAGTTGAGGGATGCGGTGGATTGAAAATTCGTTACAATTAGTAAAAAAATTACGCATGAGAGGTCTCAGGGAAGATGATTGTGACTTTGT